GACAACAGCCACACCTGCTTCGCCTGGGCGACAACAGCCACACCTGCCCAACACTTACACAGAATTGCCTTCCCCCACACCTGCAGAGAAGTCATAAGTCACTGCAGTGACTCCACAGAAGTCAAAAGTCAGTTCTACATTATGGATACGACGGAGGTACATCAGTAGGGACTGTGGTCGAGGAAGTGGAGTCAGAATTGCAGGTATTCACCAGTGGCCCGCCATTGAGGACCAGCAGGTCTCTGCTCCGTCTAAGAAAAACATTTGCGCGGCAAGTCACAGTCGAGTGAAACAAACAGGAGTAACAGATGAGTGAAACAAACAGGAGTAACAGATGAGTGAAACAACAAGAGTCATGACGAGTGAATCAAACAAGAGTGAAACAAACCGCCGAGTAGCGCCATTGGTAAGTAATATAAACAGGAAAGACAGATCTACAAGTTCTAGGTTCGTATCCTGGTCAGGTAGGATTGACTAGGCGAGAATCCTTAACTGTTCGCCTTCATACACCCAGCAGTAACTGGGTACCTGGTTGTCAAGCGATTGGCGAGTCGTTCACACTTCCCTGGAAATAAACATTTAATTCACCTGGGCTGTAGGAGACTCGAACCTTCTGAATAATTCTGGAATCTTGCCTTATTAAGACAACTCATAGCTGAGTGGATAGAGCTTCTGCCTCACACGCGTGGGGTCCATGGTTCGAGTCTCTTGAAGCCCAGGCGAATGAAATGGCGAGTCCTGTTCCAGGGAAACTATTGGGTTAGGCTTACCATGAGTTATGGGAAGGGAGAGCTCTCAGCCTGTTAACAGGAGTCAGAAGTCGTCTGTTCCTCTACACTCCCGTACCAACAAAAGTGAACACAATTGGATGCCAGCAGGGCCAGCCTGGCATGAACCAAGAGGCCTACTGCTGTAGACCTTTCTTCCTTTCTTCCTATGCTCCTAAGTCAACTGTTCCTACGTATAATATATTCCTGTGTATATAATACTTCTATGTGTGCTATGTTCGTATGTATATACTGATATACTATCCCTATGTATATTATGTTCCCTTCTATATACACTGTTCTTATTTATACTATGTTCCCACGTATATTTATCGGTTAAAATAATATATGGGTTTGAAGTTAGGAAACGTCCTGACTGGCTCAATCTTTACATTACAGAAACAAGGTAGACAAATTATATGAATACTGAGATGAATATGAAGGGTTATGGAAGCATGGTGCTGGAGGTGGCAGGTGGAAAAGTAGTCATAACTACCCTATTCAAGGTCGTTGTTGCCCTACCACGTATTGGGTTATGACAGGCAATGATCTGGCGATTGCCGTAGAGGCGCGGTAAGCCTGAGCACGACTGAGGCAAGCATCTCGGCACGTAGCCTCCGCAGGTGTGTTATCGGGTGTAGATAGCGTGTGTGCATGTGTGTGTGTGTAGGGGGCGGGGTGTGGAGGGACGCTCGTCTTAAGTCCGCGCTGGAGTGACATATCTGTTTAGCCCTTCGCTTGAGGTGGCCGAAACCTCCTCACCCTCTCTAAAAAAAGGATATTCCGTTGCCTCTAACTCGTACTGGACACTGTTGCCTTCAACTCGTACCGGATACCGTTGCCTCCAACTCGTACCGGACATCATTGCAATGAACTAGAAGTGAGTAGTTATTATGTTATTTTTGTAGGCGGGGCTTGAATTAAATATAAATTAGGTGAAGGTTTGAAATGTAGCAATATTTCGCTAAATAGGGTTTGAAATGTAGCAATATCGCGCTAAATAGGGTTTGAAAAGTAGCAATATCTCGCTAGATGGAGGTCGAAATGTAGCCATATCTAACTAGATGGGGTCGAAATGTGGCTATACCTTGCTAGATGGGTTTGAAATGTAGTAATATATATAGCTAGATGGGATCAGAATAAGTAAAGATTTCTCGGTATCTAAAAAGTACCACGGAACCATACTTCCGTAGAAAGTATACTTCATACTTCATACTTCTTCAGTAGAAATCTGAAACCAAGAAAATAATGCAGAAATGTCTCATAAAATAGTAGCCCGCTAGGATTCAGATCTGGAAGCGTTAAAAATACAAAAAATTTATCTAATGTTTTCATTTAACGTTATCTTGCTGGTGCGAGGCCCCCACTTGGGTTCTGTGCACCGTACTGTACAACAGAGCGATGCAAGTTCTCGTGTGTGCAGAGCTGCCTGAGCTGATGCCAGGCATTAGGATCAGCTTGGTACTTTATGAAGATACTACAAGGAAAACTTTGTTTACATCTACACCGTTGCCTCTCACCCCTCACTGCTACACAGTTGTATCTCACCTCTCACGGCCTCACTGCTAGTTAATTCTCTCACCTCTCACGGCCTACAGTTCCCGCCTTGATAATCGTTTACCAATTTTAAGCAACCATACTCAGGCCAGGCTCGTTAAAGCGGCGGCCATCCGACCCCCCCCCCAAAGACGCATTCATAAATGTTAACATAGTGCGTTAAAAAGAGGTTTGTTCTTATATATGTGAATATTATTATATATTAAAGTTCTATGTATAGTTAAGCGTAGGTGAGGTATGTAGCTTCATTTAATTATTATTTGTTAAAAGTGGAAGCCTGTTTAAGGCTCCTGTTTAAGAAAGAAAACACTTTACTCACGACTCACAATTGTGGCGGCGTTAGAAATCTTCTCAGCCCGTCCTCATACTAGGCTGGTTAAACCAGCAGCCGTCCACCCCAGACGCATTCATAAATTTTAGCATACTGTGTATTAAAAATTTGTTTGTTCTCATATATAAATTAATATTATTATACATACAAATTCTATGTATAGTTAGGCATAGGTTAGGTTAGGTGTTTAGGTTCTGTTGGAGATTATTTGTATTTGTAGTAGTATTCATTTGCTTCACGTGGGTCAAGCATTTACAGCGTTGTGGTTCGAACAAAATTCGTCAGTGAAGCACTTGTTCCGGAAGTGTTCGAACGTCATCAGTTGTGAGTCGTGTGCGTAAACCGTTTTTCATTCATAAAGAGGGGGATTTGGCGGGTGCATGGAATCACTTTCGGGTCTTTGTTTCGAGGACGAGCTGTGGATGGAATGGACTTGGGTCGAGGATGGGTTGAAATGCTTCACCCACGTACTACAAATACAAATAATCGCCAATAGAACCTAAACACCTAATCTAACCTAACCCAACCTATGACTATATATGCACAATATGCTAATATACTATAATATTAATTTATATTTGTGAAAATTCCTGTTTTGAATGAACAGCATGTAAAAATTTATAAATGCGTCTGTGGGGCCGACCGCTGGATGGAATGGACTTGAATCGAGGACGGGTTACTTCAAACTGTACCTCTAAATGCTTCACCCACGTACTGCATATACAGCAGAACTTAAATTTATATAAATTCACCTTCTCTATGAACGACTATGTTAATTGATACAGATAAGTGTACAATTCCAATGGTTTTATATTTCATAACAAACATTGAGTTTGTTAGCTTGTATCCCAAACGTACGTATGTGAAGAGTTATCCCTTCGCCCACTTCTTTGTTTACACTCTTTTGTTTGTATTCCTTCTCAAAAAAATGTTGATTCATGGTTGACAATCTACTCATGGCCCCTAGACCCCGGCATAAGGGTGTGCTAACACTCTTGGGGTCTAGGATTGTCTCTGGGAGGGTGGGACCCGATAGTAGTAGTGACTCCACCCATGACCTTATTCTTCTATGGACAACTCTGGGTTTAAAATGATTTTGTGCTACATCCGCAGAGTTTTTGCCCACAGAAGAGTCTGTGCACGAGTTATATTTTAGACACTGACTGATGTTCTTTTCCTTTCCTACTGACCAAATGTTATTGAAGGAGCAACTTTACATTTTGCTTTGGCATATTCTATAAATAAAATATTAATGTTATTACGTGATTATTTTTAAATAAGAACATAATAGTGTCTGCAAAAGCGTTGTTTGCAACAATATCTCATGACTGAGTTACATGCCTGCCTGCAAGCACGGACATGACCTGTAGCCACACAAACACTCCTCTTGGTCCTGTTGCATAGTATTCATTTGCAGACCTGCTTGTGCCTTTCTCTCCTCAACAAGCAAGAGAATCATTTGAACGTTTATGTCGATATTATGTCTATAACTTGGTATTTTTTTTAATTCTAACAAGAAGAGAATAAGAATATAAGAGATAAAGCATTACGGCAGGTCTGCTTGACAAATACAAGGCAGGAACAATGCACCCGTGTTTAATGTCAAATTGAGAACATTTATATTTTGTTTAATTTGATTAAGATTGAAAGCCGTAAATTAAATTTGGGGAGATTAAAGCACTATAGTTATATTGTCTTGAACGACTTAGGACGAGAAGAGATATGATGTAAGTATACAAATGTATTCAATAAATAAACAAAGGGTTGACAAATAACTCTAATCTATATATATACAACTCGTAACAACGATTCTAATTTGATAGGATTTTTGTATGACACAGGTCCCAAAAATGACTGACCTATTTTTTAATAACTTAAAAACTGATGCAATGATGTACCACCATAATCTATCTTATAACTACTGCAGTACTCTTTAAGTTTAAGGACTCTGCAACACGGAATTGATTTGTTATTTCAAATCCATTTTAGATTACTATTGTTTAAATCATTAACAAACTTAGTTTACAGTACGTATAACACAAATTTGTAAGAAAAAAAAGTGATACATATTCTTTCTCGCTAATTCCCAAGTAAAATTATCAACAAACTTTGGCAACTTTAAACCTGACCTTAATCCTCACTGTAATTAATGTGGTGTTGATTGACAGCCTGATAATCCAGCAGTATTGTCATAAAAGTGGAACAGAGACTTGCACAGATCTTCATACCCCGTCCGACAAGCTCTCCAAGATTGATTTAATTAATACTTAACACCTACTATTATGATAAGTAAACATTGTGACATATCCCGAGTTTAATATTGGTTATTTTCCCTTGTGTTTCAGACAGCCGCTAAGACGTTTGTAAAAAAAAAGTCCACAGCAGTATAATAGATAAAAAATATCCCACTGTACCTTCGAAATCTTTGACTCACATCTGAAGGCCAGTGGATTATGTAAATACTGGACGGGGCCCTTGTTCTCCTGCCGCGAGACACAGCACCATGCAGAGGTAGCATCTGGGAAGGGTACTACAAGAGTACTTGGCACAGGAATACTCAGAACTCCAGTTATGGAAGGGTGGAGGTGGTGGGCGGCGACGACGCTGAAGGTGGTGATGGTGGCTGGCCTCGCCCGTCCTACTGCTCTCACACACCTTGACTCACCCCCAGGACACCTTGCACCTCAACACATGGAAAGATACGTCAGTTATAGCGGTGAGTATGTCCTCTGACTCACTGGTTATAATGATGAGTGTCTCCTAAGTCACTGGTTATAATGATGAGTATATTGTTTAAGTCATTGGTTATAATGATGAGTTTCTTTCCTGTCATTGGATATAATGATGAGTATATCTCCTAGTCACTGTTTATAGTGAGTATATCCCCTGATCATTGGTTATAATGATAAGTATATTTCCTAAGTCACTGGTTATAATGATGAGCAAAGTGACTGTCACTGGTTTAAACAAACACATTTGTATGTCACAGTAAGTAGTAATTACCAAAATAATGATGTAAATCAGTATGGGTATATATTATTGCATACCAATATTGTATAAGGCAAAATAACCAAAGTTCATCATGAAACGTATCATCAGCTTAATTAACTGGTTATATCAGCTCTTTAAACTTTTTTGTTTTTGTTAGTTAACACTTCTAAAATAAAATTCTGTATTACAATGTCCTATCACCATTACAGAGTTGGCAGACGCAACGGACAGATTTAGCATTACTGGAGTCAAGAGTTACAGTGAACTGGTATTTGACCCAACCAGCTACCAGGTGGTCGTCGGAGCTAGGTGAGTGACATCACCTGAAGGTTATGAATGTCGCCAGAGGATTAATGATTTATTATTAGAATCAAACTATCGTTCTTATTTAGATTCACAAAAATCTCATAAATATAATGTTGTAGCCTAGGACTCTCAAAAGAAAATCACCTCACCAATACTTTATGCAGGGATCGTGTGTTCCGGCTGAGCCTGGTGGGGTTGCAGCAACTAGAGGCTTCGGATTGGGCCTCCAACAAGAGCACCGTGGATACCTGCACACTGAAGGGACAAAGCCAAGAGGCATGTCATAATTTTGTCCGCGTCTTGCATCTGCACCGAGGCAGTGTTCTTGTCTGTGGGACCAATGCCTTCAGTCCTCTTTGTACCTGGAGGAGGTAAGTAACTAAGAGAGAATGTCAATGCATGTATGTACATACACACATCGAAACACATGCATACATATAAGCACACACACTACCTAGTTTTATTCATACACACACACACACACACACATATATATATATATATATATATATATATATATATATATATATATATATATATATATATATATATATATATATATATATATATATATATATATATATATATATATATATATATATATAATGTTGAATATGACCGAAAGGGTAAGATTAATAATTCTAATTCGAATCTTCTCAATATTTCTTACGTTTTTCTTCACTGTCGAGGGTAACTGAAAAATTAACTCTCCAAAATTCATTCTTTTATTTTTGGTCTGACGCCTGAACGCATTAAGTAATGCTTATTACATTTTCAAAGACTAGTTTACACATAACATACATCAAAACGAGTACTTATACTCGTTTTGGGTGAGGTGATATGGCACAAAAGTTTTGGGTGAGGTGACAAAGCTATGCCTGAACACGAATCAATGGGTATAAATTGGGTATGAAAACATAAGAATGGAAGTAACTGCAGAAAGCCTATTGGCCCACACTTCCTCTTGCTGCTTCTATGTTGGTCCGGGGTCTTGAAGTGGATAGAATATAGTTGTGCATTAATTGACTGTTGATTGCTGGTGTTGATTTTTTGATGTGTAGTGCCTCGCTGATAACGAGTCTCCTGCTATCGCTGTATTTATCGATGATTTCTGTGTTGCTTGTTAGGATTTCTCTGGTGATGGTCTGGTTGTGAGAAGAGATTATATGTTCCTTGATGGAGCCCTGTTGTTTGTGCATTGTTAATCGCCTAGAGACGTTGTTTTCTTGCCTATATACTGAGTTCTTTGGGACTTATAGTCCCAAAGCGGGCATGTTGAAGGCGTCATAAAAAGAAATGTGAAACGCCATGCAACCTCTTGAAGAATCACCTAGCACAACACTTGTATCCCCTATTAGACTGTTTTACAGGAACTTCTTTTCGACGGCTCATAAACTGGAGGAAAGTGTCCTGAAAGATATCATTGGTAGGAATGTTATCCCTACAGACAAAAATCAGAAAATACAATTGACAATTTACTACAAAAACTAAAAAACGGCCAATCTACTCATGAAAAACTCCCCAGACACCAAACAGAACGCCTTGAAGGAAACCAATGTCGTCTATGCCTTCACATGCCCGCTTGGGGACTGTAAGCCCCAAAGAACTGGGGGCTTACAGAACTGTTAATTTTGGTGATTTACACACACACACACACACACACACACACACACACACACACACACACACACACACACACACACACACACACACACACACACACATACACATAAAGCAAGCCACAAGAATGAGGGAAGGAGATGTACCGTCAGTACTGGATCTAGTATTCACCAGGAAAGAAGAAGAGATTTTTGACATCCAGTACCTTCCTCCCTTGGGAAAGAGTGATCACGTCCTGTTAGACATTAAATATGCTTTAAGATATCATCTAGAAGAAAATGGGGACATTGAAACAGTTGATAAACTCGATTTAAGGAGAGGCAACTATGGGGAACTTCGAAATTTTTTTAATGAGTGTAATTGGACAGAATTGTTGCTAGGCAGGGAAGTAAATGAAATGTATGCCAAATTTTTAAAACTATACGAGGAAGGCACACAAACATTCATACCAAAACAGAGATGCAGGGCCAGAAAACAGGATTGGTTCGACAGAAATTGTGAGAGGGCAAGAGACCAAAAGACACAAAAATGGAATCAGTATAGGAAGAGGCCAAACCCCCAAACATACCAGCGATACAAAGATGCGAGAAACAACTATACAGCAGTAAGGAGAGAGGCAGAAAGAAATTTTGAAAAAGGGATAGCAGATAAATGTAAAACAGAACCGGGCCTATTCAACAAATTCATAAACAACAAATTGCAGGTAAAGGATAATATCCAGAGGTTGAAAATGGGAAACAGATTCACGGAAAATGAAAAGGAAATGTGTGAAACATTAAATGAAAAGTTCCAAAGTGTGTTTGTACAAAATGAAATCTTCAGAGAACCAGACACAATAAGAATTCCAGAGAACAACATAGAGCGGATAGAGGTGTCTAGAGATGAAGTGGAAAATATGCTAAAGGAGCTCGGGAAGAATAAAGCAGCTGGCCCAGATGGCGTTTCACCATGGGTTCTGAGAGAATGTGCATCTGAGCTCAGCATTCCACTTCACCTGATCTTTCAGGCATCCCTGTGTACAGGAATCGTAGCAGACGTGTGGAAACAGGCTAACATAGTTCCAATCTACAAAAGTGGCAGCAGGGAAGACCCCCTCAATTATAGACCTGTATCATTGACAAGTGTAATAGTGAAAGTATTGGAAAAGCTAATCAAAACTAAATGGGTAGAACACCTGGAGAGAAATGATATAATATCAGACAGACAGTATGGTTTTCGATCTGGAAGATCCTGTGTATCGAATTTACTCAGTTTCTATGATCGAGCCACAGAGATATTACAGGAAAGAGATGGTTGGGTTAACTGCATCTATCTGGACCTAAAAAAGGCTTTCGACAGAGTTCCACATAAGAGGTTGTTCTGGAAACTGGAAAATATTGGAGGGGTGACAGGTAAGCTTCTATCATGGATGAAAAATTTTCTGACTGATAGAAAAATGAGGGCAGTAATCAGAGGCAATGTATCGGAATGAAGAAATGTCACAAGTGGAGTACCACAGGGTTCAGTTCTTGCACCAGTGATGTTTATTGTGTACATAAATGATCTACCAGTTGGTATACAGAATTATATGAACATGTTTGCTGATGATGCTAAGATAATAGGAAGGATAAGAAATTTAGATGATTGTCATGCCCTTCAAGAAGACCTGGACAAAATAAGTATATGGAGCACCACCTGGCAAATGGAATTTAATGTTAATAAATGTCATGTTATGGAATGTGGAATAGGAGAACATAGACCCCATACAACCTATATATTATGTGAGAAATCTTTAAAGAATTCTGATGAAGAAAGAGATCTAGGGGTGGTTCTAGATAGAAAACTATCACCTGAGGACCACATAAAGAATATTGTGCAAGGAGCCTATGCGATGCTTTCTAACTTCAGAATTGCATTTAAATACATGGATGGCGATATACTTAAGAAATTGTTCATGACTTTTGTTAGGCCAAAGCTAGAATATGCAGTTGTTGTGTGGTGCCCATATCTTAAGAAGCACATCAACAAACTGGAAAAGGTGCAAAGACATGCTACGAAGTGGCTCCCAGAACTGAAGGGCAAGAGCTACGAGGAGAGGTTGGAAGCATTAAACATGCCAAAATTAGAAGACAGAAGAAAAAGAGGTGATATGATCACTACATACAAAATAGTAACAGGAATTGATAAAATCGACAGGGAAGATTTCCTGAGACCTGGCACTTCAAGAACAAGAGGTCATAGATTTAAACTTGCTAAACACAGATGCCGAAGAAATATAAGAAAATTCACCTTCGCAAATAGAGTGGTAGACGGTTGGAACAAGTTAAGTGAGAAGGTGGTGGAGGCCAAGACCGTCAGTAGTTTCAAAGCGTTATATGACAAAGAGTGCTGGGAAGACGGGACACCACGAGCGTAGCTCTCATCCTGTAACTACACTTAGGTAATTACACTTAGGTAATTACACACACACCAGAGTGCTGCCTCACTGGGTTACTTGAATTCTACGACCAGGCAACAAAAATAAAGCAAGAAAGAGAAGGGTGGGCAGACTGCATATTTTTGGATTGTCAGAAACCCTTTGATACAGTGCCACACAAGAGGCTAGTGCGAAAGTTGGAGATGCTGGCAGGAGTGAAAGGGAAGGTACTCCATTGGATAAGGGAGTACCTAAGTAACAGAAGGCAGCGAGTCACTGTGCAGCGTGAGGTCTCAGATTGGCGAGACGTTACCAGTGGGGTCCCGCAGGATTCAGTCCTTGGACCCATAGTAGTAGGCATCCTTCAGTCTCGGGAGTCTATGGAGTTGCGCCCTGGTTGTCAATCCTGGTGCAGCGTCTGGTGTGACTGATGAGGCCAATCCGAGAATGGCAGTCCAGCCCACACTGAGCACAAACGAACTCCGATTCTGGTCTGTCTTCCTGGCTACCGGCTTTCCTTCTCTGTCTCTTTGCCTCCGATTTCTTGGCAAGTGACTCCTCGAACTTGGAGAGACCTCTTTGAACAGACTGCCGCCAGGCTGAACGGTCTGAAGCCAGTGTTTCCCACATAGCAAAATCGACTTCCATGGCTTTCAGGTCCCTCTTGCATACGTCTTTGTACTCTAGCTGGGCCTTGCCTGTTGGACGCTTTCCCTGCATCAGCTCTCCATACAGGAGATCCTTGGGGATCCTGCCGTAGCCCATTCGCACAACGTGCCCGAGCCAGCGCATTCGTCTCTGTTTCAGCATTGTGTACATGCTGGTGATGTACCCTTGGACCCATACTGTTTCTTATATATGTAAATGATCTTCCAGAAGGTATAGAATCATTCCTCTCATTGTTTGCTGATGATGCAAAAATTATGAGGATTAAGAAGGAGGACGACAGTATGAGACTACAAGATGACCTAGACAGACTGCATGAATGGTCCAACAAATGGCTACTAAAGTTCAACCTGAGTAAATGTAAGATAATGAAACTAGGCAATGGAAACAGGAGGCCAGACACAGGATACAGAATGGGAGATGAAGTCCTTCATGAAATGGACAAAGAGAAGGATCTAGGAGTTGATATCACACCAACCCTGTCTCCTGAAGCCCACATCAAAAGAATAACAACTGCGGCATATGCGAGGCTGGCTAACATCAGAACAGCCTTCAGGAACCTGTGTAAGGAGTTATTCAGAACCTTGTATACCACATATGTAAGACCAATCCTGGAGTATGTGGCCCCAATATGGAGCCCGTACCTTGTCAAGCACAAGGCGAAGCTTGAAAAAGTTCAGAGATATGCCACTAGGCTAGTCCCAGAATTAAGAGGCATGAGTTACGAAGAGAGGTTGCGAGAAATGCACCTCACGACACTAGAAGACAGAAGAGTAAGGGGAGACATGATCACTACCTACAAAATTCTCAGAGGAATTGACAGGGGTAGATAAAGATAAACTGTTTAACACGGGTGGTACGCGAACAAGGAGACACAGGTGGAAACTTAGTACCCAAATGAGCCACAGGGACGTTAGAAAGAACTTTTTCAGTGACAGAGTAGTTAACAGATGGAATGCATTAGGCAGTGATGTAAAGAGGCTGACTCCATACACAGTTTCAAATGTAGATATGAGAGCCTGGTAGGTTCAGGAATCTGTACATCAGTTGATTGACAGTTGAGAGGTGGGACCAGAGCCAGAGCTCAACCCCCACAAGCACAATTAGGTGAGTACACACACACACACACAGTATACTGTATATATTATTCAAACCAAGTTATGCACTCTAGTGTCGTGGTGGATTGCAGTGCTGTCAGACTGGTACCTTTCATAATCACAGGGAAACGGTAGATCCTATGCTTCTGAACCGGTACTTACATTGTACAGTACCGGTTTAATGTATGATCCCTCAATGGAAGGCCTGGAGAGCTATTGAAGGAAATTCAGTCCCACTACATTATACTTTCATTTTACAGTCTCCGTGGTGTAGTGGTAAGACATTCGCCTGGCGTTCCGCGAGCGCTTTGTCATGGGTTTGTATCCTGGCCGGGGAGGATTTACTGGGCGCAAATCCTTAACTGTGGCCTCTGTTTAACGCAACAGTAAAATGTGTACTTGGTTGTAACAACGATTCTTCGCGGCAGGGATCATCTTCCAGGGACCTGCCCGAAACGCTACGCGTACTAGTGGCTGTACAAGAATGTAACAACTCTTGTATATATATATATATATATATATAAAAAATGCATTACATGTATGTACCTATGGACTTCAGTCTCCATATTTTTTTGTTTATATATACAATTCGTACATTCTTGTAAAGCCACCAGTGTACACAGCATTTCGGGTAGGTCCTTAATCCAAAATTTTCCCCAGAATACGACCCGCCAAATCGTTCAACAACCAGGTACCCATTCACTTCTGGGTGAACAGAGGCTACAGTTAAGGATTGGCACCCGGTCAATCCTCCCCAGTCAAAACACTCGCAAAGCACCTGACGAGTGCTTTACCACTACACCACGGGAACTGTGTAGAGATATTCCTGTAGGGACCACAGGGAATATCCTCCTATGGGCCACATGGGATATCCCCATAGGGACCACACGGGATATCCCCATAGGGACCACAAGGGATATCCCTGTAGGGATCACAGGGGATATCCCTGTAGGGACCACAGGGATTATCGCCATAGGGACCACAGGGAATATTGCCATAGAGACCACGGGGATATTGCCATAGGAACCATGGGGATATATGGTACTTTATATGTATGCATGTACTATATGTATGTTTAATAAATTTGTATGAGAAATTTGAAATTAAAGTTCAGCATGTTTTAAATTAAAATTATCCATGATCCAAAAGACTGAGATATGAACATTGTAAGTTCTCAAAAACTCACACTAATGGTATATATATATCAATGAGAAACTGGCTTCAGTATAAGGTTTAGTTATAATTATAATTCAGTGAAATCCCAGGTTGTATAACTTTTACTATGTCGTGGTACAGGGGTAAGGTGCGTAACTGGGAGTACTGTACCTTGATCACTGGTTCGAGTCGTCTCATTACTCCAATTTAATTTCTCATTGTAAGTTCTGTCATGACTATAGACAAACATAAGAACAGTTGTAATTTTTATTCCAGATTATCCGAAATCCGTCACATTGAGTCATGGGAAAAAGGTGTAGCCAGATGCCCATTTGACCCCTCCCACAGTGTGACGTCCCTGCTTACACAAGATGGTGACCTCTATGTTGGCACCCCAACAGATTTCTCAGGTATAAACTTTCTTTATGAGTATTTCACACTGTATCAAATTCTTGTAAACTATTAACATATATTTTCATGATTCTTTTATTTTTTTTATCTTGTTTAGTGACTGCTGGATTTTTATTTTAATGCTAGAGTACATGCTGGGTGAATTTCTTCCCCCTTTATTTTCAGCAATATTTAATATATACTACTGTGTATATATATATATATATATATATATATATATATATATATATATATATATATATATATATATATATATATATATATATATATATATATACACAGTATCTAGATAGATATAAACTGAAAAGCTTATGTTGATGTATTATCTTGCAATTAATATGTCAACTTTGTTGTATCAGGACGAGATTCTGCCTTTATGCGATCCATGGGTCCCGGTGGGCACCTCAGAACTCACCAGTATGATTTGAAGTGGCTGTCAGAACCCACTTTTGTTACCTCCTTTGAGTCATCAGGATTTGTTTATTCCATCTTCAGAGAAAATGCTGTGGAAAATTTAAATTGTGAAAAGGTGAGAGCATTTTCATGCACTTCAAACTTCATCTTCACTAAACCTACACAGTATTTGTTGTAACTTCTCATAAGGTTAACATAAATGTAATCATTGACATTTAATGTGTACAGTACAGTATATATCATGAGTGGCAATTAACCAGTAGAAAACACAGTACAGTACTCATAATCTGTCAGAAAATGTATGTCACTTTGTAAGGACACTATTAAATAATACAGTACTGTACAATGAGTAAGAAATCCATTCACTTTATTTTAGTGATGCTATCACAGTGCAGTAAATACATTTTAATATGTCCGTTTTCTTTTGTCTCAGAATGTTTTCTCGAGAATAAGTCGTGTATGCAAGAATGATGCTGGAGGAACTCTTGTGTTGAAGAATTATTGGACAACATTTTTAAAGGCTCGTTTAATATGTTCAGTCCCAGGAAACTTTCCTTTCTATTACAACTATGTCCAAAGTGTCACATACCTTCCAAGAGAACAAATGTTATATGGTGTCTTCTCCACAGCAGAGTAAGAACTCGTTTGTTTTTTGTTGCTTATTTTATAATGTAGTATGTTGCATTGTAACTACTGTATATCTTTTTTTCATTTATTTACAAAGTACTGTACACAAAGATTTTAATATTATGATTCTTATCACAGGAACAGTATTATAGGATCAGCAGTGTGTGTTTTTAACATGAGCTCAGTAAATGCTTCGTTTGATGGGCCGTTCAAGTACCAGCCATCACCATCATCTACATGGGGTCCAGTAACAGCTGAAAACCACCACTCCCGTTGTGAAAACTTGGGCACTAGTGGGGAAGCTGACCTTGCTGCTGACAAATTTCAATTAATGGACAAACCAGTCTTACCACAGAGCTCCAACCCATTGTTTCTTCTGAATTCAGAGAAGTAAGTTACTTTATTCTGTAAAATATTTACCGAATTTTAAAGAATTTTAATTTTAATGAACATTATAAAAATTATACATAATTTATGTATATGGATCTTTCATAAGTATGGTGAGGCAAGTCATTATACTGGAAGAGGACTTTAGAGCACATAACAAGAGATATCAGGCAATGTATAACAATATTTTCAAATACAGTAAATGCAGAAAGAGTAATGTAGTCTTAGAAGATTCCTAAACTGTATGCTTCTAATGAAATCAGCACATCAACTATACTGTACTAAGAGAATGTCTGTCTGTCTGCCTGTCTGTCCAAAGTTGAAAGCTAGATGCTTGGGGCTAGCCTAATCCAACTTTACAGGGGAAAATGATTTGGGGGTATGGGATGGACATAGGCTGGTCGGGGTTAGCCTAAGATAAATACATTAGGTAAGAAATATTAATATTTAGAGATATCCCGTGCAATTTTCATGGGGTCAGGTGTGAAATATCCTAAGCACCTGTGGGTACCCCTTCCAGTATTACATAAATATGAAACGTAGTTCAATTTATTCTTCACAGATGCTTTTCTCATACAGTGTTTTATTTAAAATTTACTTGCTGTAATAAGTTAGTAATTTATCATGGAATTATATTTTCAGGTTAACACACGTAATAGTGGATGTAGTTTCAACTCGACTGAGTGGAAACGTGCATGTAGTTTTTGTAGCAGATGGTGGAGGTCTTGTGAGAAAGCTAAGTGTTGTGCCCAACACCCAACACACCTGTCTGTTGGAAGTCCTTGCTCCTTTCCCAGAAAACTCATCTGTCGTCATTCACACCATGAAGTTCCTCAAGGATACGGTCAGTATGCAGCATATTTTTATCCTGAATTTACTAGTACAGTACTGTACTGTACGGAATTTTGCTGTCAATATTTCATTACATGCATGATAAAAGGGTTATGGATATCAGTTATCACAGACGGTACACAATTTATTTATGGAACACATACTCATTCTTCTGATTCTTCTTTTCAGAACTCACTGTATTTAGGCACAGATAGTGAAGTGGTTCGTGTTCCAGTACACCGATGTGGACATTATCAAACACAACGTGCTTGTTTAGCTGCCAAAGACCCGTACTGCGGGTGGGACACGAACCGCTTGGATTGCTCTCCCCCTCCTGGAAAGAACCCTTTCGTATCATCATGGCTGCAAGAAGTAATGGAGTGTCCTAGATCCACAGATCCAGGTACAGTCCTGCAAAAATTAAAATATGTTCCTTGCATTTTCCTCAAATGATTTCTGTTGATGGAATACAAAAAGTTCATAATAGAGTAAGCTATATGATAAAGCTTATATGTTATTCAGTTCAGAGATGTTTTATAGAACTTTGTTTCCATTGAATAGATTGTTTCCATTTTCACAGCAGTTCTTCTCATCATCATACCTACAAAATGCATGTATTTCACAAATAGGGACAAATTGGCAATTGAACTAAGTGGGTATTAAAGGATCGTGGGCATTTACAATAATTATTTAAGAAAAAGGAGCTAAAACGTCATCTGGCATTCTATTTTTATTGTTTACTAGCAGTACCCTGCCACACATTGCTGCGGCTCAGCAACGCATGTGCGTTGCTGAGCCACAGCAACCTTACCTGACCTCCAGTCCTGCCCACCATTCCCCCCTCACCCTCTCCTCACCCTCCCATCCATTTCCCACTCCATTGTCCCCTTGTCCTTCCCTACCATTCCCCAATCCACCATCCCCTCTTCCTTCCCACCATGCCCCACTCCCCTGTCCCTTTGTCCTCCCCAAAATGCCCCACTCCCCCAGTTCCTTTGTCCTCCCCACCATTCTCCATTCCCCCATCCCCTCGTCCCCACCATCCCAAACTCCCCCGTCCCCTCATCCTTCCCCACTATTACCCCCCTCCCTTGACCCCTTGTCCTCCACACCATCTCTCACTTCCGTCCCCTCATCATCCCCACCATTCCCCACTCCCTCGTCCGATGACTTCCCAAATGGTCTGATGGTCCCATCAGAAAATGGGAACATCAAGTGATCTGATGTTCCCATCACTGAAATATAAGTAAAACAGTTAAGAAATGAAATGAAAATATGAAAAAATATAAAAATAAACTATACTCACGAAATGAATGGTATGGTAAACAACACAGCTCAATTCAATGCAATTCACACAAAATAATTAAATCAAAATGAAAATAAATGAAAATCTATGAAAATTCAATTTATCAATGCAATCAGAAACATTGAAATGGAATTGTAACATATCTAGTATAGCATGTGTGTTACTCTTACATGCAACAGATGGCTCTGTTTTCAAGAAAGGCATAGTTTTACCTGTCACAGGTGTGGCATATCTACTTATATTTACAAAATGAATGGTATAGTAAACAACACAGCTCAATTCCAACATAATGTCACACAAAAAAATTCACTACAAAATAAAATAAATCAAAATCTATGAAAATAAAATTTATCAATGCAATCGGAAACATTGAAATGGAATTCGTGATATATTTAGTATAGTGTGCATGTTGCCATTTTGTGCAACAGATGGTGCTGTTTTTCAAAAACGCATGTTTTTACCTGTACCTGACACAGAGGTGGCATCGATAAAGTAGGTATATAAAAAGATGCGCCTATTCGAATGCAACGTTGTGTCAAAATTTCAAAGCAATCGGTAAAGAGATTTCGAATATTTCCCTCACATGAAAAACACATGAAAAGCACAGTTTTTCAGAAAAAGCATGTTTTTTTACCGTCACAGACGTGACATCTATATAATATGTACTAGTATATAAAAACCTACTCGGATGCGAATGGAACGTTGTGTGAAAATTTCAAAGCAATCGGTGAAGTACTTTCGGAGATTAGCGATTTTGAACAAACGAACATTTCCATTTTTGTTTATATAGATAAGTGAGCATTTAAATTAAATTGCAGTTAATCTGTTATTTTAGCTTATCTAACATTTCTTAGCTACTATAGCATTAGTTACAATGAATAATTTGGTGTCTTCTTATGCAATGCTCGCTGCAGCCATTTCTACCCATTAATTAGGAATAAGTAAAGCTGGTAAAGAAATACATACATTCATTCATTTTGCATTTGTGTGAACAATCTAAATATAAACCAGAAGCAGAATGGGGGCTTATATATATTAGTGAGAAATTGAATGAATACAGAACTGAAGTGCATTGGCATATATTGCAACTCACCTAATATTTCTTTGTATTGCAGTTGACGGAAAATGGGGTATGTGGTCAGAATGGTCACCGTGTTTGCAGTCTGGTAGTGGAGATTCGTGTCTGTGTCGCCATCGTGCATGCGATTCACCGAGGCCAGCACGTGGTGGGGCTGCCTGCACTGGATCACACACAGAGGTGACTAATTTCAGGAATTATTCAAATTTTGTGTACATGTTGAAGTGATGTTTAAATAACAGTTATGCTTTATAAATTTTGTTATACAGTACAGTACTTTGCTACCAAATATATCAAGAGTAAAAACACCTGAAGTTAAGAAATTATTAATTATTAATTCTTCAGATGATAATTACAACTTTAGAGTACTGTATATATATTTTACATTAGTTAAATTTGAAGAACCCACTTTTAAATGTACAGATTAACATATAATTGTCTCTCTAATTTCAAAAATTAATTAGTTTCCTAAATGCAAAAATAAGAGAAATTAACATGTGTGCAAAACAGTACTGTATATGCCTGACCCTCATAATTTTCTGGTCCTTCCTTTCCTTAGGTAACCAACTGCACAGTGCATGGTGGCTGGACAGCATGGTCTTCATGGTCTCAGTGTTCAGCCACTTGTGGTATTGCAGTCAAAACTCGTCGTCGCACATGCTCAAATCCAGAGCCTCAACATGGTGGTCGCGTATGTGTTGGACAAGAACGTACCGAGATATATTGTCACTCTCTTGCACACTGTCCATGTAAGTTATGTTGCATGATGGCCAGCAGCATTTGTTATTAATCATACAACACTGTTATAATCAGTTTAAAAAATGTCAGATCTATATTAAAATATAATAATAATGTAATAATGTACTGTACCAGTACCTATAAAAGATAAAATAACCTTCAATGTATCATGAGTCAGCCCTTGTGCTTACTTATCAAGTGATTACAAAGAATAAGGTCTAGCTCTAAATGCCCCACCTCCTAGCTCTTTGTCCCTGGAACATGTTTAATGCAAATCTCTTGATGTTTGCTTTCTTTGTCATGCATGCACTTGAAGTCTGGACTGCGATGGCATCCATATCATCATTCAGTGCATTCCACCAACTTTTGCAAACACTTTGAATCCTGCCACTGACTCACCCAACACCTTGGCTGGCAGTGTCCCACTTCTGGCTAGTCACTTCTTGCTTATTTCAATTCTCTCTCTAATGTATTTAGAGGCAATAGAGGTGGCAAATAAAAACACCAAATTGAAGCACAGGTTTAATTATAATCGTATTATGTGTTTTCTTGAGTTCCATTATCAAAGAACTCAAGATTTGAATCTTCAGAGTACTGTACAGTACTGTACAGTACTATATTTATATAGCCATGTTTTTTTGGAAAAGTAAGTAAGTAATTATCAAAAGAAGGCACCAAACCAGGAAGGCTATGTAGCACCATCAAGTACGCAAAATAATCAGAGGGCGCTAAATATCACCAAGGATGCCAATACGAGAACAAAAACGCATAAGGCGAACGATATCAAAAGTATCCGAGTCACCAAGAATTCTATCGAGGGACAGGTGACCGCGAGGGGCGGTCGGAAAGCAAGACACACGCTCGTCCTGGAAGTCAGGACATTCAAGAAGGACATGCACGACCGTAAGAGGGACAATGCAACTAGGACAATAAGGAGCAGGGCGGCGCTCCATCAAGTGACCATGGGTTAAGCGAGTATGGCCAATACGCAACCTCGCCAGAGCTGTTTCCCACCGCCGGTTACGGTGGAAGGAGGACGGCCACGAGGAAACACAACATTTAAGAGTACGTAGCTTGTTACCAGTAACAGACAACCAAGAAGCCTGCCAACGGGTAAGGACTGAGGAATGGATAACCGGGTAAAAGTCGGAATACGGAATGCCTTTGCGAGAGATGGGACAAGAGCGGACAGCTTCCTTGGCAGCAGCATCCGCACGCTCATTTAAAGACACACCAATATGGCTGGGAACCCAACAAAACTCAACCGACTTAAATTTACTGTGAACGAGAAACAGCCAATGCTGGATCTCGACAACTACTGGATGAACCGGATTAAAGGACCCGAGAGCAATGAGGGCACTACGAGAGTCAACAACAACCACAAAGGAAGACTGACAATGAGAAAGCAGGAGACGAAGAGCATAGAGAATAGCATAAAGTTCCGCTGTAAAGATGCTAGTCTCCGGAGGCAAGCGACACATATAAGTGCGATCAGGAAAAACAACAGAGTAGCCAACACCGTCCGCTGACTTAGACCCATCGGTGAAGACAGAAACGGAGCGGGAGTGAGAAGAAAAGTGCTCGAGGAAAAGGCGTTTGAGAACCGTAGGAGGGGTAAAAGCTTTAGTGATACGGGTCAAGGATGTACAAAACCGCGGAAGAGGGACCCTCCACGGGGGCAAAGAAGGAACAACACGAGGAGAAACATCAGAAATACGAACGGAAAGAGAATCCTGTAGGCGAGATAACCGGACAGAAAGAGGGAGGTGGTGAAGAGGAACAGGAACCGCAGGAGGGGTAAAAGTTAAAGCACGACAGAGGCGAGAGGAAGGATGTTGTAAGGACCGCGCAAGATAGCGAAGACAGTAGCGATCACGGCGGTCCTGGAGAGACAGGAAGCCAGTGTCAACATACAAGCTAAGGACGGGAGTCGAACGAAAGGCACCAGAACTGAGACGCAACCCAGTATGGTGCAAAGCATCAAGACGGCGAAGAGTAGAAGGAGAAGCAGACGAGTAAGCAGGGCAACCATAATCGAGGTTAGACAGGACGAGAGAGGAATGTAAAGCAAGGAGAGTGCGCCTATCTGCCCCCCAAGAAGTATGGGACAAGACCCGAAGGAGGGTAAGGGCCTTAGAGCACTCAACACGGAGGTAAGAGATATGGGGAGACCAAGACAAACGAGTGTCAAGGAATAACCCCAAAAGCTTCGCGGAATCTTTGTATTCAAGGGGATGACCATAAAGTGACAAAGAGGGACGAAGAACAACCCGTTTCCGCGTAAACGTCATGGCACAAGTCTTAGAAGTAGAGAACTTGAAGCCATGACCTGTGGCCCAAGACGACACGGCATCAATGGCAAGTTGAAGCCGGCGTTGAAGGAGAGGCGAATCATCACCCTGACAACAAAGGGTAAGATCATCGACATAAGATCATCAGCGGAGAAGACACCAGAAGGAAGAGAGGAAAGAAGACCATTGAGGGCAACCAGAAAAAGAGTAGTGCTCAGAACACTACCCTAGGGCACACCTTCGTATTGCTGAAAAGAGGGAGAGAGAGCGGTACCAAGGTGCACCCGAAAGGAACGACGAGAGAGGAAGCTGCGGAGAAAGAGAGGGAGATGACCACGAAGGCCAAAAGAATGAAGTTGAGATAGGATATGATAACGCCAAGTGGTGTCATAAGCCTTTTCTAGGTCAAAAAGGACGGCAACAACGGAGGTCTCCGCAGCAAAAGCAGTACGAATATAGACCTCCAAGTTCACCAGGACATCTGTCGTGCTGCGGCACTTGCGGAAACCAAATTGAGAAGGGGAGAGGAGGTGATGGCGTTCCAGGAACCACATCAGACGAACGTTAACCATACGTTCAAAGAGTTTGCAGACACAACTTGTGAGAGCAATAGGGCGAAAGTCCTTAGGGGATGTACCCAGAGACCCCGGTTTGCGAACAGGGAGGACAACGGCATCGAGCCAGTCCTCAGGGACTGACGACGACTCCCAGATCCCAGATACAGACTCAGTAAATACTGAGACGTGCTCGGAGGGAGATGGCGAAGCATCTCATAATGAATACCATCGGAGCCCGCCGCCGTAGAACCGCAGAGGGCCAGGGCAGAACGAAGTTCAGAGAGAGAGAAGGGATCATTATAGGGAAGCTGAAGATGAGTGCAGAAATCTAAAGGACGAGACTCAAGGACAGGTTTACGAAGAAGGAAAGATTGGGGAAGATGAAGACCAGAGCTAACAGAAGAAAAGTGGGAACCCAGTTCGGAAGCGACCTGCAACGGGTCCGCCACAAGAGTATCATGGAGGTGAAGGACCGGTGAAACATCGGGAACGAACTTACCCGCTATCTTGCGGATACGCTTCCAGATCTGGGCCAGAGGGGTTTCGGACGTAATTGTTGAGACATAAGATGCCCAACATTCACGTTTAGCCGTACGGATGGCCCTACGGGCCACCGCACTCGCTTTCCGAAAGAAAAGAAAAGAATCGGTCGTCTGCCTACGGCGGTGCCTCTTCCAGGTTGCACGCTTACAGCGGACAGCCCGAGCACAGTCCGCATTCCACCAGGGAACGCACTTCCGTGGACCCCGAGAGGAAGAGCGAGGAATAGAGCGGAGGGCAGCGTTGAAGACAGTGTCACGAAAAAGGAGGAGAGCGCGAGAGAGGGGCAGAAGGGAGAGGTCAGAGAGAGTAGCACTGAGGGAAAATAGGGTCCAGTCCGCCTTAGCAAACTGCCACCTAGGGAAAGAGAGGGAAGGGCGAAAAGAGAAAAAGGAAACAAGGATGGGGAAATGATCACTTCCATGGAGGTCATCAAGAACCTGCCACGTGAAATCTAAGTAAAGAGAAGAAGAGCAGAGAGAAAGATCAAGACAAGAAAGGGTGCGAGTTCGAGAGTCCAAATGAGTGGGCTCACCAGAATTCAGAAGAGACAGGGAAGAAGAGAGGAGAAACGGCTCAAGGAGGCGACCCCGGGTATTCGTCAGAACGTCACCCCAAAGAGAATGACGACAATTGAAGTCACCCAGCAGGAGCACAGGCTCCGGCAAGGAGTCTAGGAGGTGTTTCAAATCAGGAAGAGAGAGCGGGACACTCGGGGGGAGATAAATGGAACAAACTGTGTACCATTTCCCCACAAAGATACGAGCAGCAGAACAATGGAGAGGCGAAGGAAAAAGTAAAGGAACAAAGGGAACATCAGCCCGAATCAAGAGAGCAGAAGAATTAGAAGCCCCAGCAATGGCTGGGGGGGGGGGAGAGAAAGGAATAGCCACGAAAACGACCAGGACGAGCACCAAGCATTGGCTCCTGGAGACAGACAGAAAGGGGCGAAAACCGCGAAATCAGAAGTTGGAGTTCGAGGAAATTGGCGTAATAACCTCGAACGTTCCATTGAAGAATGGACAACGACGAGAAGAGAAAGGACAAAACCAGAGAACAAGGAAGAAACAAAGGCGAAAGAGCAACAGAGCACGTTAAAGAATATCAGGGTCGGGATCAGGGTCAGCAAAGTCAGGGTTAGGGGGCATGGGTAAACTGAGCAAAGACGGAGGGAAGGAAACGGGAGAACAGATCAGAGGTGGGCGGGCAGGGTCCGGAGGAGGAGGAGGAGGAAGAGGAGGAGACAACGGAGAGGAGCAGTCAAGGACAGCAGCAGGAAGAGGGGGAGTAGAAAGAGGGGAGCGCACCCCAGCAAGAGCAGCAACCGAAAGGGAAGCAGGGGCCAAGGAAACCTCCATAGCAGGAACAGGGGGCGCAAGCACTGAAACGGGAGGGGAAGGAGCAACAGAGCCAGAAGGAGGAGCTGAGGAAGAAAGCGAAGCCTTCTTACCCGCCGGGGAAGAGGAAGGAGAGGAGCCAGGCTTACGCTTCTGACTTAAAGAGACCAGTGTCCCAGCAACTACGTACCGGGCAACGGATTCCAGTGTCTCAACAGGAGAAGCCGAACGAGAGCACACACGACGGCCGTTAGGAGAGCGATGGACATCCGCCCGCACCGACAGGCGGTGGGGAGAGCCGATAGATGGAGGAAGAGGATGGGAAGGAGGATCGGAGGGGGACGAGGAAGAAGACACGACAGACCGGGTAGAAGGAAGGGGAACCCCAGACAGAGGACCAGGAGGAGGATCCTTCGGGAGAGAACCCAAAGGGACAGAGGAGGGGGCAGTGGGCGCATCAGGGTCCAAGGCCCGGAAACGGTTGTGAGTCTGAGGAAGGCGGGAAGGACGAGGAGAGGAAGAGCGCAACACGCGAGCATAAGAGATATTAGCATAAGGCGGGAGCCGGCGAACCTGGCGCCTCGCCTCAGGAAAAGATAAACGCTCCCGGTGCTTCAAGTTGAGGACAGCTGCCTCAAGCTTGTAATGGACACACGCACGGGAGAAGGTAGGATGGGCCTCACCGCAGTTGAGGCAACGAGCCTGGGGAGAAGCGCACTCCGACTTAGAGTGACCTTCGCCACCACACAAAGGACAGAGAGAGACAGTCCCGGAGCAGCGGAGGGCACCATGCCCAAACCTCCAGCACTTGTTGCAGAGCCGAGGAGAAGGAATGTACTCCTGGATAGAGCACCTAGCACCAGCAAGAATGACAGAGGGTGGAAGGGTCCTACCATCAAAGGTAATCTTCACAACCCGGAGGGGTTGACGGCGACTACCACGAGGGGGACGAGTAAACGTGTCCACCTGGAGAATAGAATGGCCCTGGGCAGCGAGGATATGTCGAATATCGTCGTGGCAGTCGCGCAGGTCCCGAACACCGGTCGCAACATGGGGCGGGAGCAAAATAGTGCCAACACTGGCATTCAACTGAGCGTTCTTCGAGACCCGAACGGGGGTCTAGCCAAGGCAGGATAAGGCAGCCAAGCGGGAAGCAGCATCCTGAGAAGGAGCAGCAACGACACGTGTACCGAGACGAGTGGGGTTGAAAGTAATGGAGGCATCTACGGAATCAATGAGATGTCGATGGAGGGAGAAATCGTCAGGAGGCGCAGAATCAAGAGGGAGGAGATCAAAATATTTGGCCCACGAAGCGGGACCAAACAAGGCTTCATAGGTAGCAGAACTGGAAGGAATCGAGCGAGGGCGGCCGTGACGAGGACGGCGGTGAGAACCCCCAGAGAGAGAGGGGTTAAAAGGTGCAGTAGTTACAACCAGAGAAGGAGCCGCGCCAGGGGACGAGGTAGTCACCACTGGGGGCTTGGGGCTCGACCCAACCACAGAGGAGGGAGGGGAGCCAGAGGAAGGAGTCAGAGAGGCCAAAGGAGGAGCAAGGTCGGGGCCCAATGCAGCGGAGGCTACAGAGCCCGGTCTTCCAATACGGACCGACTCGGGGGCTTGGTCGCCCACCCCACGAGCCTGAGAAGGTAAACCAGAAGAAGCCGAAGCAGGGGTTATCATCTTGACGAAAGAAGAATTCACTCACGAATGTGCCCCCACACCCACCATGGAGCCACAATTAGAGGCAGGACACCCAACAAGAAGCTATCGCCGATCTTGTCGGGGCCTCCTAGGGGTGCGTCGTGAGTATACGCCCCACAAACGCCACCTTAAGAAACCGACAGTCCGTCGAGATCGGGTTCAGTGACGAAGTGGGGATTGACAATAAAAGGTTCCCCTCGCTCTCGACGTCGGGTACTGCAGTTCTACGGGTGCAAGAGTATGCCTCCTCAAGCACCCGGGCGTCAAAATAGAAGAAGTCCAAGGGAAGAACCAGAACGAGCAAAAGGTCGGCAGGAAACGGCAAGCAGATAGGAGAAGAGGGGGGAGAAAAAAGGAAACAGAAGGAAAAGGAAAAGATGCCCAGCAGAATTGGAGAGGACGGCAGCAGGAGCACAAGGCTAGAAAAGGACAGAGGACTGTCCCAAGGAGCATCACACTCCGGCAGCCGCCCACTAAGCCCCCACACGGCGACAACGAGCTGAGCGGGGAGGGGGTTTTTTGGAAAAATTATAGCTCTTATCAACACTACAGTGTTTTCTTACACTAGTATTCTTGACAATTGTTCACATCCATTTTAGTATACATTATGACCTTATCTATACTATCAAATATAATTATGAGAAAAAAAAAGTGTCTGAGGTGGTTTGGTATGAACTTATACCCAAGGTGATCTCTGGGTGGTTACCTCATATCCAGTTTGGCAACGATAAGCTCTGCCCACACATTGCCCACATATTTCAGAAGAATAGATAATGAAGTGAAGTTTGCAAAATTTAAGTTAAAAAAGAACTAAAACATCATCAGAGTGAACACTGTAAAACAGTGGATGATGCTTAAACACATCATCAGATTGCTGTAGTGTTAATAATGATAATTGAAGTATAAATAATATACTGTATTCTAAAATAAAAAACTGCATCTGAGTCTTGTACATTGGCAGCCTACTAGCATGTAAAGTAATATGATTCAATTTAGATATAAGTAGTCTTGAAATGTGGTGTACGTGCATTTCAACAGTTCTCTTATAATACTAATGTTGCAATGTATAGTACATGTTTGACGGATGTAAGCAAAAGGGTTTGATAAGAATTTATTTGATCCCGCTTTTAAACTTTAATGTAATGATTTATATTGAGCACAATATGTCAGTACATGTACAGTACTCCTTTTATTTAACAGCATATACAGCCTTACCTGTGGATGGTGGATGGAGTGAGTGGGGGTCCTGGGGAAGATGTTCTGCTTCATGTGGGACTGGTATCAAACATAGGCAACGTTCATGCACCAGGCCAACCCCAAAAAATGGAGGATCACCTTGTCCAGGCTGTGAGAAAGATAGCGAGATTTGTGGAAATTGGCCATGCCCAGAGATAAGCCGACTATCATCATGGACTCCATGGTTAAGACTCAATAGTTCTGGAAACTCTGGCATTCAGAGGCGTTTCAGAACAGAATGCATTGCAACAGGAGACAAGGACAGTCCACTTCGAATTGGTAAAATGCATCAAGAGGATCGAGTTTGTACAAAAGATGGCTGGTGTGGTGATTCCCATCAGATAGACTCTCCAGATAGTGGAGGATGGTCTGAGTGGAGTGACTGGACTAAGTGTGATGAACCATGTGGTGGAGGACAACAATATCGTCATCGATCTTGCACTGTTGGTTCGTGTGCTGGGACAGCTTCACTAGAGAGAAGCTGTAATGAACATCCCTGTAGAGGTAAGATTATACTCTACTATTTTTACACATACTGATTCATGACTGTGTTCTTAATTTTATAATAGTTTTTGCATATTTATTTAAATAATGGACATTATGAGATACTAAAATACTGTATGTTGTTGGTGAGGAACTGATTGATTAGTTTGGTAAATAAAGGAGTCTGTTGATAATAATGTGCAGGTACACAAAATTATCTAATGGTATATTCTCATGTCTACAGGTCTTTGGGCATGCTGGAGTGAATGGAGTTCATGTTCAGCAACATGTGGGTCAGGCGTTCAGTATCGAACACGTCGGTGTGTTGCCTCACACAATCCATTCGTTGATGCCTCAGATTGCACTGGTTTACACACAATGCAGCAATCGTGCCATAAGAATACTTGCATTGGTAAATAGTTTCATTCTTGAACATTTATATGATACATATGGGGGTTACATATATGAACAGCCATATTCAAAATACTGTAATGCTGAATTAACATTTTTCATCCACATCTTTAAAAGCTACATATTTACAGCAGGTGAATAATTATAATTACAATTTTTTCAGGCGAAGAGGGTTGGGGCATGTGGGCAGAATGGTCCGAGTGTGGAGGTGGAGAGGAACGAGTGAGGAAACGTCACTGCCTTTCAGATCAGCCCAGCAAGTGTCGTGGACTTGATGTTCAGAGAGAATCGTGCAAATTTATCAGCTGTAAGTTTGAATTTTTATGCTTAAAATGCAGTAATGCATTACTTTCTGTACTCTGAACATCTTGCTTTTATCAGCAACTAACTACACTCGGTCCTTAACACTATCGCACTCCGTTGCCTCCTCCCGTCATCACTCATTTTTGTCTTGAGTCGTCTCGGGTGATGCTGTCCGGAGTCACTCATTAAAATATTTGTTAAAATTGTTAATTTTATTCGATCAATCTGAGAGTGATTTCAAAATGAGAGCCTTTAGATTGTGCACAATTTGATACCAAAATGAAAGATGTAACACAAAAATTGATGTCAGAACACTAGAAAGATATAAAAAATTTTGTGGTGACGAGTGTCCAAAAGTGTCCAAAAGTTAAATTATGTTAAAATTCCATTTATTGTTCTATTATTATGGGACTAGTTTTAAAATACGCACCTTTATATTGTGAACAATGGACAAAATAAACCATATAGATTATATAAATATATATAATTTTATATAAATAATATATAAATTTATATAAATAAACCATAAAGATTTATATACCAAAATAAAAGACGTGACGCGAAAATTGATCCAGTGTCAATGTCAGAACACTGGAGATAAATACTTTTGTGGTTCAAATTTTAAAATATTTGCTAAAATTCCATTTATTGTTCTATTATTATGGGACTAGTTTTAAAATACCCGCCTTTATTTTGCGAACAATTTGATACCAAAATGAAACACGTAACACAAAAATTTATGTTATCAGACTGAACGAGTATACAGTACTGTATACACATAGTCTGCAGGTGTGTCAATTTGTGCTCGTTCACGGGTAACTTGGCCGACTTTAGGCTTTGCTGTGGGGAGTAACACCAGGTTTTTAAACCTTATATGCAAATACCCCTGTAGGGAATTCTATTGCGAACACAATGATACCAAAACAAACGACGTAGCACGAGAAATAAGGTGAGAAAACTGAAATGCATATACATATTTTACTGATTTTGCGCACTCATGGGTAACTTTGCCGACTTTAGGCTTTGCTGTGGGGGAATCATGGCGGGCTTTTGGACCTTATATGCACATACCCCTGTAAGGAATTCTATTGCAAACATAATGATATTAAAATGAACGACGTAGCATGAGAATTAAGGTGAGAAAACTGAAACGAGTATACACTTTTCAGTGTTGCCGCAAGCTCGCCTGCACCAAACTGCGCATGACGTCATTTCTGCGGCGTGCGATAGTGTTAATATTTGCAAGGGTTCTATTCCTAGAAAGCCCACAAATACAGAATTTATGAATACCAAACTTGATGTTACAGCTCTAGTATAGCAGAAATAGAATACATTCCAGAGACCTAAAATCTTTAATTGTTTTCCCCACACCTATCTTGAGGTTATCTTGAGATGATTTCGGGCCTTAGCGTCCCCGCGGTCCAGTCCTCGACCAGGCCTCCTTTTTGTTACACACCCCCAGGAAGCAGCCCGTAGCAGCTGTGTAACTCCCAGGTATCTATTTACTGCTAGGTGAACAGAGGCATCAGGGTGAAAGAAACATTTTGCCCAGTCATCTCCGCCTCCACCGGGGATCGAACCCAGAACCTCAGGACTACGAATCCGAAGCGCTGTCCACCCAGCTATTAAGTGCCCTTAACACTATTGCCAACAGCATTTGGTGTTCCCAGGCAGTCACCCATCCAAATACTAACCAAACCCAACGTTGCTTAACTTTGCTGATCGGACGAGAAGTGGCGTTATCAGCGTGGTATGGCCATTGGCCATACCATACCTATCTCAATAAAACACTTCAACATTATTACTGAGTACTCACTACTATCACCACTTTAAAGCCACAAAGATACTGTGGCTTTGAAGTGGCCAAGCCACAGGAGATTCATAAAGGAGATATGAACACTCAGCAGTGATGTGTGCTGTTGTTTCCACTGTTTTCTTATCTTTCTTTACCTTGGAGCATATGCTGACTAATCACTAGAGGGAGAGATCACCCTGCTCTTGGTCACCTATTGTTGGGATCAGGAAGCCTATTAGATTATCAAGATATCTTTAGGCCAATTATGTAGCCCACAACAATCACTTAACTATAATACAATATAGTACAATACAATGATTATTCAAAAGAATGTGTGTGTACAAAGAACATAAGAGTAATGTACAATTGTAGGAGCAGGAGTTACACAGTCTATGAAGTCACTATTAGGCAAAGCATTTCGGGCAACTCTTGAGTATCAATTTACTGCTTGGCAAAAAAAAAGAGAGAGAGGCATCAGGTGTAACAAAATGTGCCAAACGTTTTGCCTTGACCATGTATCAAACCCAGATACAGTCAGCTATGAGCCAACTACTAATTTTAACACATTTCTCTGTACTGTGTTTTATAATTTTGCAAAGAAATCACTAGATAAGAATACTAGCTTGCAAATTCATGAATTGCCCATCTTGAACATGGAATTTTGTTGTTGAAATAAATGTGAATATGTGAATTCCTATATGTACAGTATGTGGTAACAAAGTTGTGACCACTGAGGGCAAAGTGTGTCGAGTACATTCTGCATTAATGTATTAATGAAACATCAATTCATTACATTAACGTACATTAATGTATGTTAATTCATATTGCCAACCTCATGTAGTTAAAAATTTAGTTATAACAATAAAAATTACTAATAATTGTTAGCAGGGAAATCCTTTGTTTATACATTTTACATTACAGTACTTATGTAATTTAAAAACAAATACAAGTTTGTGCAATGGATAGGTTTTATTATAATATACTACTGTATCTACAAAGTGGAAATTACAAATATAATTTTCGTACATTGTGAGTATGAGTAGCATTATTACAAACTTGTCTTGCATTTCAGCCGACGCAACAGTGGTGGAAGCAGCCGTCGTCAGTTCGAGCGAGAGTGAAGGTGCAGGTAACACAGTGTCAGTGCAGGCACTAATAGGCTCCTGTCTCGCGTGTCTCATTGCTGGAGCACTGCTTGGTGCCTTGGCCACTTACCACGTTTGTGTACGCAGGCACCACAGGAGAGTGCCATCCTCCCCTCACTATATCTCGGCAAAACCTAATCACTATGTTAGTGTCCCAGGAGCAGAGTGGAAGGGAGAACAGTCACCAACTAGTACAATAAAGAATGGCAGCATTAAAAGTGGGCTAAAAGCAGCCATAACAAATCTACCTTTGAAAGACTTTGACACTGCCACCATTAAACGATCCAGTCATGGATCTTATGGCAACGGTCACCTTCGTGCAGATCTTGACTCAGATACCATATTTAATTTCTAGCAAAAAATTGGCCTGTCCAGTCTTTCAGTCTTCTGTTGGTGCTAAAGACCCTTATGAAGGGGCCAACCTTATCTCAAGTGTTCAAGACACTACATCTCATTGTGATATTCAGTGTAGCTTTTAAAGATTTATTGGATGTGACTGTTAGGACAGTTCTAATCTCGGGTTCCTGTTGTGACGTGAAAATGCATTCATAACCCATAACAAACAATTGAGAAAATGGTTTGTGACAATTTTTACTATATACTGTACGTCAAGAACATTTTTAATGTATGTCTTGAGATTTCTATACACGTGTATATGAAGAATGACTACTAGAACTGACCTTATATAATCTCCCACCCGCATTGGAAAATCCTTCATGCAGAGGTTATTATATTGAAAATGTAGTTATTGAAGAAAATACAAGTGTTGTGGAAGAGACAATGAAGTGTGGTTATTTGAACAAATATTCTGTATATATATTGCATTTAGTTTTACCACATTTTTCTTCATGTAACACTTGGTGAAAAATTAATATTCTGAAAGTTAACCTAACAATATTTGTTTACTTTTTAATAAAGAAAGTAAGAGTTTGTTCTTGCACAGACCTATTTTTTGTTAACAAATATTGCATATGTGAAAAAAACACAAGTACTTTACATATAAAAGAAATGAATTGCCTGATAGACATATTTGCTTTGTAATCTAGTCAAACCAGTGACCGTGAACATAATGACATGGATTTTTAATAATCCCAGATGTAAAAATTCTTTAAATTTTATGATAAGGTTATTAATGTACGTGCCATATTCTTTGCTGAGAATTGTTATAATTTTTATAATGAATTTTCATAAAACATAAATGGTTTATGGAGTATTACTTTATTCCTTGAACACTAAATAGTAAACTTGTTTCTGGATAATAATAATATGCATGGATGATATTCCTCATTGCATGTTTGTGTCTGATAGTTAAACTGACTTGTTAGATTTTAAACAATTGCTCCTTTGCTGACTAACCATTACTGCTGCCCTCCACCGACCACCATCAGCTGGCAGCACAAGCTACACAATACTACCACAAAAACTGGATAACCTCATCTGAAGCTCCAGCTATCCAAATAAGCTTAGGAAGTAGGAGCTTAAAAGGTAGGAATTAAATGGCTGGTCAGAAGGGAGTTTCATTCCAGTCAATCATCCCTTTTCTGATCTAGTCCTATTTCATGCTTCATGAGCCAAACCCCATAGCTCACATGCATGAATAAAAGTAAGATGACAGAGCCAGGAAACAGTAGCCAAAAGACAAGGCAGCCATAACCAAATATTCAAGGGCTGAAAAGAGCATAGGAGTCAGCAGGACGACAGGTAGCCAAAAGCAACGCAGAGTGACAGTTCTTGGATCCATTAACTGTCCACGAGTTAACCATATGTGACCAATACGTAACCTACCGAGAGATTTCTCATTTTGTTTCAGTGACAGGAGGAAGCCCAGAGGGAGTAGAGCAGATGTGGTAAAATAGAAATGAAAAAATATCCTCTCTGGTACCTTGATGGTCTGGCCTCTCCACACATTCCTGACTATAAACATTCTGGGCTCAGTGATGCAAGAAAATGTTTACACTCATTTTACATGTTCAAAGTTATTTGTCAAGTTACATCTATAAATTTGGTGTCAAAATGTTAGCAAATAAATTCTCTGGAGAAAAAGATGCAAAAACTATAGTATATTTATGGTAGATAATGTGCAACAGTGATGAATGTACTGTATTTGAATAGCAATTGGATGACACGTTATAGCATCATTAGAATGTGAAAGTGATTATAATTAAATTAAAATAATATTCACAATCGCCCTTCCAATGTTAAACTTGCAACAAATCTTGGTTCAGTATATCATTCTTGATCTGCCAATTAATGTACAATACTGTAATTTATATTCAGTTCTCAGCATCTTCTGACATTTCTTTGTGGGGCTAGTTGAAGAAATTGTCTACATATCTGTATACCTGTGTTTTAGTTCCTCATTTTGAAAATATTTACAATATTTTCAGACATAATCCAAAAGCAGGTTGGATCTATGTACCGGTAACTTATATTATAGGTTATTCAAGACAGGTCACCAACTTGACATGTGACAAGTATATGAAACCAAATATACATTATAGAAGTTGGCTCATAAGCCCTCATACTTGGGAAATACATAGGTTACCTTACCTTACCTTGAGGTGATTTCAGGGCTCAGCGACCCCACGGCCCAGTCGTTGACCAGGCCTCCTCGTTGCTGGACTGGTCAACCAGGCTGTTGGACGCGGCTGCTCGTAGCCTGACGTATGAGTCACAGCCTGGTTGATCAGGTATCCTTTGGAGGTGTTTGTCAAGTTCTCTCTTGAACACTGGAGGGGTCGGCCAGTTATGCCCCTTATGTGCAATGGAAGCATGTTGAACAGTCTTGGGCCTCTGATGTTGACAAGAGTTCTCTCTCAAAGTACCTGTTGCACCTCTGCTCTTCAACGGGGGTATTCTGCACATCCTGCCATGCCTTCTGGTCTCATGTGCTGTTATTTCTGTGTGCAGGTTTGGGACCAGCCCCTCTACTATTTTCCATGTGTAAATTATTATGTCTCTCTCCCACCTGCGATCAAGAGAATACAGATTTAGGCTCTTCAGTCGGTCCCAGTAGTTTAGATGTTTTACCCAGTGGATTCTAGCAGTAAAGGATCTCTGTACGCTCTCCAGGTCAGCAATTTCTCCAGCTTTGAAAGGGGCTGTCATTGTGCAGCAGTATTCCACTCTAGAGAGCACTAGCGTCTTGAAAAGTATCATCATCGGTATAGCATCTCTAGTGTGAAAAGTTCTTGTTATCCAACCTGTCATTTTTCTTGCAGTTGTGACGGCTATTTTATTGTGTTCTTTAAATGTAAGGTCTTCCGACATCAGTACACCCAAAACTTTTACATTGTCTTTCCGTTCTATATTATGATTTAACCGAGTTTTGTATGTGGTTTCTGTTTTTATATTACCGTATTTGTCCGGATATAAGACGCACTTTTTTATTTTAAAATCTATCAAAAAAGTGCCCTGCATCTAATGCGGCCGTGTTACAGATGGGAGACAAGGGACTAGGCTAGGGAGCCGGAAGAGAATACTAGATAAGTTCGCTAGGCCAAAAATCGTTGCTAATAGTAAAATATTGAAAGGAAGTTGAGTTGTCACAAACTTATGATACGTTGGCAGTTATGAAGGAAGCTCACATCATCTTACCTAGTATACATAACCCACACCTGATATGTCATACATTATTTAATGACTGTTACCTTTAAGACACATTTATTCATTATCTAAATGAAAAATGATCCTAGAAATTTGAAAGGAATGTTCAACTTTCATCGGCCTGTCAGCTATTTGCAATGCATGAATGACAACACTACCAGAGCGCTGTGATGGCGCGCCGCCCTGGTGGCCTGATGCGGCAACAAAACATCACATCCAGAAATACAAGTTTTACATCCTGTATAGCAATTCTCTTGCCCAAAATATAAACAACTACACCACAGCTGATCTTAGAGGAGGTAAGAGTTGTGGTACAAAATCCACTTTAAAATATCTTTCAATAAATGTATGATGAAACATACTAAAATAGTTTTTTTCCACAAAATATCCTTGTAAAATAGGGGTGCGTTCTATGTGAGGGTGCATCTTATACGCCAGCAAATACGGTAAGTCCATAGTTTCATGATCCATGTGTAATTGGGTTGACCTGGGCACTGCCAGATACCCCCATCTGGTGACATATAAAATACAGTACTGGTACTTCCTATACTCCAGTTCTTATGGTTGCAACTACTAGTAATTATGTACTCTTCCCTTTTAGATTACATGTATCAAAACCAATAATGATCCATATGCTGCAGTATCATATAATTCACAATCCTTCATCAATCTTCAAAAGGAAACGCTGCAGCATGTACAAGTATAATGGAGTACTCTAAGATGGGTTGTGAGAATTTCTACAAAACTGAGCTCATAACATAACCATTATAAAATTGATATTTCAGCCAAACAATGGCCCAGTCCAAAAATGTTACAAAATAAGGTAACAAAAATAATGTAAATTTTCAAAGCTTTATTAATTATTCAAATAAATCTTAAGAATATTATTTCATTAACAAACTGTAGGTATAAGATATGTATCATCAAACAGGTTGGCACAAATTTACCGCACAAGTCTTAATTATTTCAAAATAAAATGCATGTTTAATTGCATCAATATTATAAAAGCGTTTGACACAAGCTAGAACATTCTATCAAACTGAAGCTCACACCCATAACATTCTCAGGTGCAAAACGCACGACCCAAACCAGGGCCTAAATAGTCTAGACCTGTATGCCTCCACCTCTCTATGACTAGATATAAGAAATAGAACTCAAGAATCTATGATCGATTCTCCCTGGATTGATGAAATAATCAACTGATATCATGAGTAAATGTTACATATGCTCCCTCTCCTATTCAGCAGCAGTGACACCATCGTCCAAACTGTTACTCTCATCTATCAGACTGGTACATGCACTCTCATCTATCAGACTGGTACATGCACTCTCATCTATCAGACTGGTACATGCACTCTCATCTATCAGACTGGAACATGCACTCTCATCTATCAGACTGGTACATGCACTCTCATCTATCAGACTGCTACATGCACTCTCATCTATCAGACTGATACATGCACTCTCATCTATCAGACTGGTACATGCACTCTCATCTATCAGACTGCTACATGCACTCTCATCTATCAGACTGCTACATGCACTCTCATCTATCAGACTGCTACATGCACTCTCATCTATCAGACTGCTACATGCACTCTCATCTATCAGACTGCTACATGCACTCTCATCTATCAGACTGCTACATGCACTCTCATCTATCAGACTGCTACATGCACTCTCATCTATCAGACTGCTACATGCACTCTCATCTATCAGACTGCTACATGCACTCTCATCTATCAGACTGCTACATGCACTCTCATCTATCAGACTGGTACATGCACTCTCATCTATCAGACTGGTACATGCACTCTCATCTATCAGACTGGTATCAATGTTCCTGAGTGAGAGACAGGTATGTGTACAGGTAAAACATACATAGAGGTACTAGTTAGATTCCTCACACACCCACGATGCAATTGTCGATTCTTGGAACCTATTACAAACATCTTTTCATGGAGGTGGAAACATGTAGGCTCGAGACATCTTGGATGCCAATTTGAATCCCTCATCATTCTTAAAATATTATAGCTATGAAAAGCCAGCAAATAGCACTCAAAATTTAATTTCCAGTTTGCTACAAAATTATAAAAACCTTGGTATCTACGAAAAGACAACTTGGCACCCTAATCTGTTGCACAATTTTTGCTATGATTTAGTCAAATTTATGAGCGACCATGCAGTGCATTAAACTATAAAGATAAAACACAGTAGTTCTTTAAAGAAGTTAAATGAGTATAGTACTGAAAAATGACAACTAGCTTCAGCCTCGTCCATATCAAATAAGTAATACTCAAGTATAAATAATATCCAATCACTCAAAAACATAATTAGCTGTAAAATCTATTTGTACTTCATTAAGAGAAATCATACATTTGTAATTTTTAACTGACATCATAAGCAAAACAATTTCATTCTAAATACTCTATACTGCACTATTTTTAAAACATTTCTTTAAAAAAATACATATTTCTGTATATAACATTTGTGTGTTAATACAGATTAAAAAAATATAATGAAATTCTTTCATATCCGATAAACAATAAAAATACAGTACAAAAACCTCGAGTTCAGTGTACTGTACCGTTTCATTTCAATACAAATTATAAGTTAAAGTATTAATACTGTATTATTTGCATCTATGTAATAACATTACAATTTTGCATTACTTTATTTTAATCATACAGTATATGCTATCTGATTCTTAATCTTGAGAAGCATTTAATTTTGTCATAAGATCCCTAACAAAATGCTGTAATACACAATTTGGTTTAATGGAAGGTTTCCTGGAAGTTGGAAATGCATCCCCGCTCAGAACAAAGCGAGTATTTTACTGTATACAGTACATGTGTCCCCATGGTTTTCACAATGTATGTTAAGCCCTCTATTTGCCACAGATGGGATCACGAGGGAGGTCAAGGTATGTGTGTTCAAGGAGTGTGAACATACTTACATGCCATTCATATTACACACGCACACTTGCAATTGTATGTTTTAATCTTTCACCATTCTTTAACATTTGCACTTATAATTGTGTACTATAGGAATTCTCATTTAGGTATAAATTTCAATAGTTGCCTAAAAATAAATTTAAAAGATTGTGAGAGATGTTCGTTATATAAATTTGCAGTTTTCATTAAAGCAAAATATATGTAGACTGTATGAAGAACAAGATACACGAGCACCAACTAACGACGTTTGGTTGCTTTCTTACCTTTCTCGTTCAGCATGCTGTAAAGCTGCTTGGACTGTACAGCAATATCAAACTGAGTGTGCATAAACTTACAGGTAAATGCTACCCGACTTGTCTCTGACAGGTCAGGGTTTAAAGATTTGAAGAAATTTACCATTGTTTCCTTCTGTTCATTTTCTGGCAAATCATAGCTGTTTACAGTTTTCTCAACCACACGCCCTTTCTTTTGAACCCACTGATAGAGTAATTTAGATGGCAGCTCTCGGTCATACTTCATTGAAGCAAACCTGGAAAAAATATCTCAAGGATTTATCTGTACGTACAATTTTACAATGCTTTCATAAATGAGGTTGGAACTTAAAATCCTAACTACTATGGCAAATGCTTCACTAATGTGGCAACTACCAGTTCTGCATACATATGCCATATTCATTCTACTGGACTACCATGACAACTGCTTTACTATACAATGCATTAAATTTAAAAACTTCATTCTGATATGGTTGTACATTGACACTGTTAGGCTAATAGCAGTGGTGAGTTCAACTCATGACTATGCTATTGCTAATACGTGTTTACCATACATGCAAGCCTAGCACTCTTAGAAACGATCATCAAATTACTGTACTTGAATGAAACATTAATAAGATAAAGGAACTGTACATCAGCAGGCTCTCCATTAAATACACAACAAACCTAAATTTATATTTAAGTGCTGGATTGATTAATTCTTAATGGGTGGGGGTTAGTGAGTACCCTAGAATGCTCATCAAATTATCTTAGGAGTGAAGCTCCAGCTGGAGTAGCCAAAGCAGAGGCAAGACCCTATATGTTGTACAAGAGAAAAGTTATGCAGGTTGCTTTTGTGATGCAATTGTGTTGATTACTGATTTGTTGCCACCACCTGCCAGAAGAATTGGTGGTATTCTATTCAAACAGAACCTGGTCCAGTAACAAACTTAATGAAACTGATACATTACACAACAGTAATCTATCCACAGAGTTGCAACAGATTAGTTATATTGATAAGTAGGGAATTTATAGTGCCATTGACAAAAATTATTATCCTAATTATTTTGGTATAAAAAACACAGCATTGAATGTAATGAAATGCCATTTTCTGGGCAAAGCCCAGGAGGCTCCCTGAAGCTATCCAAACTGATATAGTGCTTTATTTAGCGGGAGAGTATGGTCTCTCAAGATTCTCCCACAACAGACTTGAATGGCTCATTGCAGTGCACAGTGCTCCTATTCAAGCACAAGGTCCTATCTCTGTTAACCCTGGATGGAAACTGTCATGTTGGGTGTCCCCAGGATGCCCACATATACAGGAATACTGTACTTGTATCATGCGGAGGCCGTCGTATGCCCATGGGGAAATTAGACGAAGAGAAATTAAGCATTCATGCCATAGAGTCAGGGAGTACACAGTTTGAAGGTGCCAAGGCGTGAGAGAGGGGGATGCCAGAGAGGCGAGAGATAAGCTATGACCTCTGGGGTCAATCTTCATCGGTATAATGAAGAATAACAAGTGACATAGTCGTGATGTGGCCATAACGTCACTCTTGTACCTATCATGTAACGATCAATATCATTGGTTCCAGCACCTTCGCTACGCCATTGGTCACTTGGTAGACCTGGTGTTTGTTCCCCAAGGAAGCATGCAAATCTTTGCAAGATTATTCTTGTGAGGAACTTCGTACATGGTTGACGTACCCTTCTGTCTATCGGTCAACAGACAGAACACTGTCTGTTCCTCACTGTCAAGTTAAACTCTGCATTCTGCTCGACATATCAGCGCTCGCCCAGAATCGCAACCGTGACTATGTTGTTTAGAAATCTTCTAGAGTGACAAAAGTCTGTGAATCACCAAAGCGAAACAGACTGGTATCAGGTAACATCTGTGAGATCGAGATCATCTATGGGTAACTCAGTGGTTAAGAGTGAACTAAGTGCCACCGCCTAAGTAATCTGTGTGTGTGACTTTACCACTGCATGGTACAATATAATTGTATCTGCCGCCGCCACTCATTCCAGAGTGTGTAGCCAGCCGCCACTCGTCCTGCCATCACTGTACTATGTGATGTCAATGCCTGTCACACCCTTACCCATGCGCCAGTGTCACCAGGGGCATGTGTGTGTTAGAAATACAGTACGCCCTCCTGCGAGTACCCCGCCATGTCAAGTACAGTCGTACAGTATTGGGAAAGCCTGTCATCAATGTTCTCACGTCGTAACGAGCGGGACCAGCTGTCAGGCCACCTACGAGGTCTTGCAGGAATGTGCATGAGTGAGTGAATGGGAGAGGTAGCCATACCTGTTAGTACAAGATCTTGTTTCTTTATTAAGTGTGTCTGTGTTGATCTGAGTGGTCAACCCCAGTTCTCACCTTCTCATACCTGACACAGGTATAGGTGGAGACCGAGACACCTGACGGTGTATGCCTATTTATCTGTGTGGTATCACAACATTACACTCGTCTGTGAATGTGAGCTTCACATACACCACACATTTAGTAATTGTGTGACAATTATTGTGAATGATTATTGCCTGTCCCATTGACAGTGCCATTGTTGATTTACTGTGCATCATCATTACCTGAGTATCCTGTTGGAACTTCCGTGACCCTTTGCAGACCGGCAGTTAGGTTTACCGTGTTAATGATTGGCTGTCAATTGTGTTAGGTGTTTCTCCACGAGTGGATCAGAATCGATCAGTCAGACGTCAAGAGTCTCACTAATACGATAATAGCCTTGCTGATGCCAATCTAAAGTAAATCAAGCACCCATTGTATTAGTGGGTATAGTATTGTATGTATTAAGTTTGTAAATAAACTACTGTTAAACATTATGCAGTGTTTCCATTGAACCACTTCTGAATACTGCCATTACATTACTTAAGACTTCAACACCTAGTTGCCTATTATTCATTATTATAGTTGCCTAGGAGCCCTTAAAGTGTTTCAAGCATTGAGGAGATTCCCACGACCAATGTGGATCAGGACTTGGTGAGGCTAGTCTGAGTGGAGACCATCAAGGACTCTAAGTCAACCTTGCTCCTAGGCCCTGTACGCTTGCACTCGTATTTTCTCTGCTGGATTCCGACAGCTTTGTGAAGCGTCTGCCATATGTACATTGGTGACATTATGCGCATCGCAGTCGTGGAAAGCAAAGTAGAAAATCTCACACTCAGTTTGAGTCATCTGTCACAGGAGCTCTTTGCCCACTGACGAGCCAGAACCTAGGCCCCCCTCAGAGAGGTGTAGGGGGCAATGGTGTATGAGAACTTACATTTAAAGTACAGTATGTCATATTCTGCCATCGACCGGGGTGGGCACCCAGAAAGATAGGCGAACCAAAACAAACAACTAGCCAATAAAATTGCGACCTACAGCCAGAAAGAGCAAAGAAACTCCCGCTTGTTAGTGTATCCCCTCCCCTGAAAAGGGGGAGGGGGAGCTGGCTTAGGTGAGCTGGCCACCCACCACCCCATTTCTTGGCATTATGTAAAAACTGCTGACCGGAGGGATGGAGGGTGGCATAGAGCTTCTAGGTATTTGCCCAGAATATGGCGTTTCATTACATTCATTGCTGGTTTTCTGGGGAAGCCCCGTCGGCTCCCTGAAGCTAACTACCCACTGATAAGGAAAAACAGGGACTTACCCGGGAGGCAGCAGCACCACATGGCTCAAGTTGAAGAAGAGACCGACATCCACGACAGACGCCCCAAAGCCACACAAGGCCGGAGAGGGCCCGGAACATTCACTAGATATCTGGTGGCCAGGAACCTGCTTGACCTCTAGAACCCCCGCACCCGAATGTCAACCCAAGACATGTTCCCAAAAACCATGGCGAGCGCCGTGTACTTTCGTACATCATGGGCACGAGGGTAAACCTCATAGCTCACCTCCTGTGTTGCCACTGGGAAGAACAAGAGTGCATGAACTATATGAAAAATGCCCCCAAAAGAGATAAAAACCAGCGTTGAATGTATTGAAATGTCATTTTCTGGGTGAGCCCTGAAGGTTTCCTGGAGCTATCGGGCTAATATACGAATCATTGGACCAGGGCATTAGTCTATGGAATTCAGCCTACTGGGGACCATAAGCCAGAAGAACTTGGCCCCTTCAGAGAGGCGCAAGGAGCAATGGTCCTGGAAAACCCCCTTGTGGTTGGGGGTTTCCCTTATCTGCCACTGATCAGGGTTAGGCACCCAGAAAAGCAGGCATAACATAACAGACCCCACTCGGTAAGAAAATTGCAACCAAAAACCAAACAGAGAGGCAGAACTGCCTGCAAACCCAAGGAAACAAGCAAACGTCACACTCCATCACCGTGTAGGCCCTCCCCTCCCTTTGGGGGAGTGGGGGAGCCCTGGACCCCCCCTGTGCCAGCGACCCAGCCACAGCGACTCAGTTTGGAGGCTAAGTATTAAACACGTAAAAACCACCGACTGGAGAGAGGGAGGGAGGGTTACCAGGAAACCTCCAGGGGCTCATCCGGAAAATGGCATTTCATTACATTCAACGCTGGTATTCTGCGGGGACCCTTTCAGCTCCCTGGAGCTCCATAACCAAAGATAAGAAAATGAGGGATTCACCCGGGAGGCAGCCGCCACACACTCGACACGAAATCGAAACAATGGACTGCAACCTTCAGCCTGCCTGTTCGGTTTTCGGTTACAATTTTCTTACCATGTAGGGTCTGGTTTGTTATGCCTACCTTTCTGGGTGCCTAACCCCGGACGATGGCAGATAAGGAAAACCCCCGACCACATGGTTTCCAGGGCCATTGCTCCCTGCACCTCTCTAAGGGGGCCAGGTTCTGGCTCGTGGTCCCTGGTAGGCTGAACTCCCTAGAATAATACCCCGGACTAATGATTCGCATATTAGCCCGATAGCTCCAGGGAGCCGAAGGGGCTCCCCACACATAAAATATTATAACCTATCAACCGCCCAGCCTCCATATGCCAGAGCGTGGCCCAACAAACCACAGCTGTGGGGTGGAGTGCCACAACTGGAGTGCTGCCTTGGCGGCACTCCGGTCGTGGCAACTCAAACTGTAGAGCAAAATTCCTGCCAAAAATATAAACAACGAAACTGCGGATCTGAGAGGAGGGAAGAACAATGGTACCAAAAGCACCAGATAAGAATGTGCAAGAAATGTTTGGTGAACAAAATGAAAAAGTCGTTATAATAGTAAAACCAGAGTTGAATGTAATGAAACGTCATTTTCTGGGTGAGCCTCGGAGGCTCCCTGAAGCAAATATGTGCCATACTAGTTTGATG